GTCTGCACAGAAATAAATCCGATTTGAGGAAAAGCAGAAGGTCAGTAGGTAGAATGCAAAGGATGTCCAAGTAGAAGTATTTGCTGAAAATACGCTGAGAGCCTCTACAGTCAATGTACCCGTAAGATAGTTATTTGAACTTACCTTTTTACTCTGTTAATCAACATACTTCTCACGCCTTTCATCTGAATACCGTCTTCAATATATTCTGAAAGTATAGTGTTCCGATTATTGGGTTGAAGCGCACTTTCACAATTTCTCCCAATGTAGTCAGTCGGCGGTATCAGCTGGAGCGTGTCGACTTGGGCTCTGGCGCTGCGCCAGGATGTTTTCGATGAATCGTTGCGGCTTGCGGAGTTCAATGGGTGGTGAGAAAGAGGCTGGCGCTACGCCGAAACCCACGCGCCGCTTACACGCCCCGACTGACTTTGGAGGTAATGGCTGTAGGTAGATTGTACGGGGGATGAGGATGTAGGCCCCGTGTAAAATGCAGAAGGAACCCAGGGAAAATTGAGAACAAGCTGATTTGCCGCTCAGAGGTAACCTGGTTCTGACCCTTTTCCTTCTATCGTGAACGGTTCAGAACTTTTTTCAAGTTCTACAAAATGGTGTAGTAGCAACTTGGCCGGAGAGCACTTTACAGGAGAGGACTTCAGGTGTGCGATGATGCATGAGCTAACCTCTTCTAGTAAGAACGAATAGATCGAGTAGAAAAATAAAATCGAAGACTTTGTTCAGCATAAGCCATGAGTCATAGAAATTCCGCTGGACTTCTTCAAATACCATGGCTACAATTGTGATCAGATTGTAGAAACAGCCTATGAACACTATGGCTGTCCATATGTAGAAGGTCAGACTCGTGTCGTCCACTGACCAGTACAGAATTCGTCTGAATGCAGTAAAACGTCACGAACAGGTTTACATTTTGAACATGGGTCTCACCGTTGCCATTTTTCTTTGACTTTGGCTTCCTCAGTTTGCGAAGGCGGTTCGAACACTCGTCTCACATTATCGTAGTCCACGCTGCCTTCTTTTGCAGCTTTTTGCGCTTTCTTGTGCTTCACCCAACTTTTTATCATCTGAAATATGGAACATTCGGAGATATTTGCCTTCAACTGGCCCACTTTCCGCAGCTGGACCTCGATTGTTCGCTGAGGATGTCGGGGCGTGTCAGGGAGCTGTGCTTCGGCGCGGTGCAACTCCGATTTCCACTTGACCAAGCGCTAACAATTGGTGGAGAACTTCGTTCGCGCCGCGAAAAGCTTTCCCCCCCCCTACCCTTTTGCGCAGTGAACGTGACCGTAAATAACAGCGTTGTCTCGTGCCTGCCCGAGTAGTATATGGGTGGTCAAAATTTAGGAAGATAATCTTTTCACTCTCTGCATTATTCACATCACATAGAAGTTTCACTCACCATCGCCAAACGGACGACATTTCGAAAACTCCCGCTTCTATGAACTGGAGTACCATTGACTTCCTCCTTGGGAGTCACTGGCATTTCGTCGGGAAAAGTGTCTGAAGCAACGGGTTTCAGAAATATAAGTGGTTGAATAATTTCACTGAGTTCAATTTAGGATGCAACTGCTGCTTCAAGTTGAATTTCGCAGGTGTCACATGGATTCATGAGAGGATCTTCCATTCAAGCACCATTACGTGAGGCTTAGCAATGCTAAAAAGACTATAACTAGTGACTGACCCTCATAGAAAATATCTCACAGGGAGGTGACTACACATGTTATGTGAAGTTGTAGCTCCAAGTTAGACGTGTCATAGTTTGAAGGAACCACCGTGCTCTGAAGAACGTCAGAGACCTACAATAATGAGTCTAGAAGGGAACTGAACTCGCACTTTGCATAGCGTCACTTCCTCTGCACTCTGCCTGATTATTTTGCTGGACTAACTAGGACTTTGAATAACACCATCTTCACGATGATAAGCATGCACGAGATGGCCTTTCACGAGGAGCCAGCATCATCTGTCCTCCTTCTAAGGACCCATTTCTCTGGCTTGCGAGTTTTTTGCACTTTTCGATTCCTTGATAAGCCAGCAGCCCTTATTCTCTTACCGCTGCGAACGTTCTCGCGGCAAGATTCACTTACCAGAAGGGTCTACTTCACGTGGCTCAGAAAATAGAGAATCCGATTGAATAACTCCACAGGCCTGAAGCAGGTAACGGCATGCCATTCGTATGGTGGTTGATGTGGCATATGCGAAGTTGCAGACGCTTTGTGGTCCAAGGGTGCCACGGTGCTTAATGATGTTGCGTTCAAAAACATCAGCGTCAAGGGCCCCAGGGTTTGTCATACGTAGCCCCTCCTTTTTTTATGGTCACGCGACGGAAAAAAACCAGAAGCAGCCTGCCACTGATAGTCCCACCATTTTACCTTACTTGACCAGTCCACATAATGACATCCAGAATCTAGGTAAAACATCCAAGCGAATTTTGAAAATCTCGGGCATGCTGTACATTTTGATTACAGAAACCGAAATTGGGAATGAAGGCGCGAGCAGAGCAAGTTGGAATAGAAATATGTCGGTTACTAGACGCGCGGGCGCTAATTGCATTACGGGATGCAACCATCAGCATTATCATGGCACGGCATGCTTTCTCATAAGCACCCTGTTCAGACGACTTCTAACGTGTATTATTCCGGAAACTGCACATATCCATGGCTCCGCACGGTCTTTACTGGAAACACTTCGAGGCTCGGGTCTGCAGCGCGTTCTACGAATCCTGCGGGCGCTGCAAAGCAAATTTGTTTGGATATGAATTACTGCCTTTTAACGGCGCAATACGCCTTTAAAAGTTATCCCGAGAATTGCGAGTTATGGGTAGAAGTCCTGACCCCAGGCGGGACATCTCCCGCTCACAGGAGATTCTATCAATCACGTCATAGAGCTGAGGGATAGTTTAATCGCCGCGTCAGCGGGAGTTGCGGGTTCGAGCACCTAGGCTGCTCTGATTTTTGCCCATACCTCAGCATTCTCATAACAACATCCGAGCAGCTTCAGTTCCTGGGACAGGTAATTAAAAAGAGGAAGATTCGGCGGAGATGTATCCACTGGTCTCGTCTTGCTCGTCCTTTGAACCTGCTTTGGCAATTCATAAGATGTTTTGTGTCGGGGCTACGCGCACAAACTATATATAGTCATGTTCGCTGCAAACGAGAAGGCGTGTGAAGGGAAGTGAAATGGAGCGACGCTAGAACAGCCTCTTCCGCCTGCTGCTGCAGTCTCAGGATAGTATCATTGGTGGAAAAGGCCGCATTGGCAGGGCTCCAGTCACTCCCCGTCCCACGCCCTACCATTTGCAAGTTATAGGTGTGGTTACGCAGAGTTGCGCCGCTAGATGACTTGTTATACTGCAGCACTTTTCTCGCTAAATCGTTCAGGTACTGGTGCCTATGCTGCGCACGTGACGCCGCTCATAGCGCCGTCATCGCCATGTCGTCCTAACGTCAAAGAGGTAACGTCCCATAGGCGGAGTGTGAGTCCACCGCTGCGCTAATTATGTCAACTCCATCCCTGAACTCTTCCAACGAATTTCCAACCAATTGGATCCTAGAAATCACTTGCGTGACGTTATGAATGTCGTATAATCAATAGCTGTCAATAATCAACGCTTTTTATCATTTTTATTATCTGCATTTAAATGATCGCCGGGAATTCATCGCAACGCAGCGTTACATCAATCAGTCAGAAGCTAAGTTTATTCACTTTCTAGCATACGCATACGATTTCTGGTAAGTTGTCGACTTTTTGTATTGATACTTCCCCGGTTTTGGCGGTGCTGGTGGCGGCGGTGGTGGTGGTGGAGGCGCTGCCGCCGGTGACTTTGCCTCTCCCTGGAAAAATGCACGATTGTATAAGCCGCACCTGCTAGCTTTTCCTGGTATTCGAAAATCTGGAAAGATTATCTGCTATGAAGCCTTGATCAAGAGCAGTGTGCAGAAGAGACCGTCTGCAAATCCTCGAGAGTTACGAAAGTCTGCATTTTTCGACGGAGGAGGCTCCACCACAGGTGAACTACTTTGAGGCGGAAAAGGGAAAATCTCCGAGTGCCGGGTGACAGTAGCGAACTGCCTCAATCAATCATTTCGAAACGTTCTCTCCTCCTGAGAGCTGCAGACTAGCGTAACCCCACGGAAAATCACAGAATGTCTTCACCGAGGCATACAGTGCCTCCATATCATGCAGCATCTCTCATAGTATGTTAGCTTACCTCTTCAAAAGAAGAATTCAACCTTTTTATTTAATTAAATCTTCAAAAGAAAAGTGAAGCAGCTACCGCCGACAGACGTTTTCCCAACTGACCTGAACTTTTGTTTCAGACGCCTGAAAGGAAAGCAAATTACTGTGGGCACGCTCTTCTATCAATCGAACAGTCAACAAAGCTTATCACTCTTCTCGTCATCAACATCTTTTTATCAACGGAAGTGCTATCTCATAGTCGGTTCTTGGTAGAAGCGGTTGTTTGGGCTTGGGAACTCATCCTGGATCTTTTTACGGCGCAGCTCCTAACGATCAAAGCTCGAAAGGGAACCGTCACGCGCCAGGTACAGTCTATATCCGAGAGCAAAAGGGGGCGTTTACCCGATGACTGCGAGGATCCAGAGAGAAACAAGCAGTGACGTATTTGTGAGAAATGAGGATCGGCACTGCGATGAGGACCAGCCGTTAGGCGCACTTGATGAAACCCCCTTTCGCTCCCCAACGTGTTCTAAACACAGAAGCCGGCGGCATTAACGCGAACTTTCGCAGATTTTCACTACACAAGCTCTCCGAAAGAACTGTTGGCGCGTCCAGATGCCTATGGTGCTAGAACGCTGCAGTAGTGCACGGTTGCGAGCTTTGAACACCCCAATGGCCATCTCGGATTTACAGATACCACCCACGATTTAAAGACACATGAGGCGCAGTGGGTTCAGTGGCTGCTCTTTAGGTGTTCCTAAATAGCAGAATAGCAGTTGAGAATCCTTACCTTTTTCCCGAACAGTTCAGCATCAATGTCAGCTTCGACTTCAGCGGAACCTTTCCTATCTGTGACAGCCTCCACGGGCACGAACGCGGACTTGTCCGCCATCTTCTAGTCGGAGTTCGATAGGAATTGAAACTACCTCTTCGTTCTTCACTGTTTACTATCACAGCAACGGTGATACATATCCAGATGTGATCACCATTCGATTTCGAGAAACTTCATGCGGACGGCCTCATGGTAGTGCACGGCTGTGCATCCCTTGAGCACTTCCGGAGCCTTTGGGCAAGCCGCGATCCCTTTCGGTGTGGATGCTGAAGCGCTACAGTAACTGACTTGAGCGCGGCACCAGCTCTCTTGTGGAGGCTGCCATGCGACTACAAAACCCGAAAACTGGCTGGTGTTGTGCCAAACTTCAGCCTCCTGAAACGCCGCACTCTGACCTCATTACTACATGCAACTTCTCAAATAAGCGAAGTCTGATCCCAGGTTTGACTCCCCTGCTGCCTCTGATCTTGAACTCTATGAATCATTCGCAGTGGGAAGCCACTGCTCTTTGCTATGTTTACCTTTGAGTACTCGCGGAAAGCAGCCAGGAAGACTTTCAGCGCAATCCGACCCAGCGTTATGGTACGTTCCACGCTGACTTTAGCGGAATCAGAGCACAACATCAGTGACAGAATCCCCCCAGTTTCCTAGGGTTCGTATTTGGCTTCGAGAGAAATCCTACGTAGCCGCGAGACTTTTTCCGGTTGCTGACTTTTCGCAGATTTTTTCATTCAGGGTCTCAGCGCTACTTCTAGCCGTCCGCCCTCAGAGCAACTATATGTACAACTATTATAATATTTCTGATCGATGATTCCGCAAGCTGATTAGCGTCCCGCTGCTTAGGTGACTCCGCCAGCAGTATCATGTTCCAAATAAATCGAATTTATTGACCTCAAGTGGTGAATCACTTCATGTCACCACGGTATGAGTTGAAAGGGTTCATATTCGAAAACTTCCTTTGAAGAATTCATCCTTCGGGACTAACTGGTACCAGTCAAACAAATTTCGCTCTTCTTTGACTAGGAACAGTACACACGCACAGGGAGGTAGGCAAACAAAATAGATGCCATCACAAATGAGCGTACCAGTCAGCTTCTTCTTTTCCCGTATTTCCTTGAGACGTCGGCGTCATCATCTTTTATTTTCAAGACATGAGGCTTACTCAACTGCATTATTTTTACTGCAACTGGATCATTTATTAACTTATTTTACCGCTGTCTCCTACTGTTCCCACTGTTTTCCTGTCTACTGACATAGAATTATGCAAATTCAACAGATTTATCTTCGAAAATCAACAAGATGTCGTTCATTACAGACATTGCCGGTCATTTGCTGTTTTTCAAAAAAAGAAGCAACTCTTTTCTTCTCTCGAATACGCTTCTTTCTCTCATCCAAGCTGATCTTATAGATGCATAGCTGCAATAATATGTTCAAATAAGAATCAGTTTGAATCTGACAACTCTTCTACTTACCATTTTCTCATAGTTTACTTTCTTCGGCGACTCGACGCAGCGTTCCTGATGCTTCGAATCGCGTCGGGTGAGCTCTTATTGTAGATCTTAAACACAGTCGCAAAAAAAGATGCATGAAGATTCTTTTTGTCGTACCACAAAGTTCACTATTGTTAAGAAATTCATAAGGGTCATATGAAGTAATAAATAAGGGCGAAACCCTGTATTCAGTACGAGAAGTTGCCCGCCGCACTGCCATTGCCACACCAAAGCTCTCATGTTCCATGGACTTTCTAGTGGTGCGGTTATTCCACCATAGTTCTTTCCATTATCAATGGTGAGAGTGAGATGGTAAGGGACTTGGAGGGGAGGGTCGGAGTACGCGCGAGCGGCCCACCCTCTGCTGCGTATTACCCCTCTTCGCAACGAGATAGTGGCCTTTCTCAATAGCTATAGGTGAGGCTCGAACGATAAGCAGCGTTCTATTCCCAGTCGCCGCAAATGGGATTTCAAGGGCGAAGCACGCAGCATTCCCAGGAAGCCCAGGCGACGTACGCAGCATTTCCAACAAGACCCATCCCACTCAACATGGCAACGGCTCTAAACGTCGACTCTTCCCAGGTCCACTCATACTGCGATGCCCCGACTGGGAATGACGCTTCGCACCCGTAAGCTGAAGGCGGCACAGATGACCACTGAGCTTGGTGCAGCTTGCCCCCTCCCCCTCATCGTCCCACACTCTGTAATGACCAGACAAACCTCCTTCCAAATCGTCTGGTTCAATGCCCTCAGCGATGTACTGAGAGAATTGACGTTTGTAAGCGTCCGGATCCTCTTCTTTGAGCATTTTCATATAGTCGGCCACATGTTTGCCAAAAATGCGATCACGATGCGCTGCTGCGTCGTATTTCTTCGTCTCAGCATCGTATCCGAAGAAACGGTTCTCGCTGAAAGTTACAAATTCAGGTGCATCCAATCAACTTCCTAAAAGGCAGTTCGGCACGATGGTTGGCGGCGGGCGGTTACGGCCAACGTCACTGGTGGAGGGCTGAGTGGGGTGTAGCCGAGCGCCTCTCGCAGACCTTCCGCCAATGACGTTGGCAGTAACCACACCCTCCGGCCATCGTGCCCACTGCCTTTGAAGGAGCGGTCCGCGATGACCTATGAAAATGCAAGAGGTTATGTGGGAAGGTAGTGCGGTCCGGAGTGGACAACCCTGTGCCAGTTTCGCGGCGGAAAGTTGTACGGTAAAGGAATTGAGGCGCAAAGTTGCTTCAGTGGTACATCCCTTTTTCCAGTGACTCCGCCTCCAGACTCCGTCGGCCTTCCAGCCAAAAGTAATGCTCCCGGGCAAGTATCATGGAGTGGATGCATTCAATGTCTCTTAGAGTCATAGGGTTCATTACTGGGAATCAGCCGACGGGAATTGTCCCAGCGGTCTTTTCGGTCTTTTACCTCTACAGTTGTTTGAGGCTAGAGGAGGCCTGACGAATGCGTTTCCAACGTTCCCTTTGGCATTTTCTCTTCATAGATGGTTCACTTGGCGAATTTTCTTCCACATTTCTGCAAATCACCTAGGCTTTTTATCGCGGACCGTGCCTTTAATGATCCGCGGAACATATCCACCTAAATGAGAACCAATAACCAGTAAGGACTATTGCGCTTGGGCGCTTCGCTATGAAATATTTCGCATACCAGTCAAAGGTCAC